AATTCTTTTTTTTTTAAGTTTTATGAAAGATTATTTTTTTTAGGAGTTCACAAATTGTAGGAATTCACATTCACAAGATTGTAGGAATTCTTTTTTTTAATGTTAAAGAAAATGAATTAAAAATTGAATTTTTTATTATTATTTTAGTAAGGGCAAAAAGGTATTATTTGGGTGCGGTAATTAGTAAAATTGGGTGCTGTGAATATTAACACTCTTTCAGAATACGTTGAGCCTATGTGGCAAATTCTCATGTTTCGGAATCTTATTTGGAAAAAAATCATGCTTTAGAGTTAGACTTAGATATCCCCTCTTAATATAATTTGAAAACGTGCTGAGCCTAAATGGTTGTCTCGCACGCTTCGGAAGCTTACTTGGCAACATTACATGCTTCGACTTTTGGTTCGGATACATTCCCTAATTGTTTAAAATAAAATACTTAATAAATAGGATTTTTACTTAATCTGATCCCTCAAACTCCCAAATAAATAGGATTCTTATATGCATTCCTCCAGCTCCAAAATAAATTTGATTCTTATCTTACATAGCTTCATCCTCATTCTTATCTTATAAACTTACCAGATTCTTATCTTATATGTCGTGTAAACCAAAATAAAAAATTTAGCTTTATATATTATTTTATTTATATAAATAATGTAAACAATAACTTTTTTATATATTTTAAATTAAAAAAAATACTATAATTTTACAAAAAATTTCAATCCAACCATAAATATATTATTTAAATATTTTTAGATTATCTATAAAAATACATTGAAATAGTTATAGAATATTACATGATCTTTCTAATATATTTTAAAGAGTTGAAATAGTTATACAACAACATGTGTTTTTTCTATTATTTTATGTTTATATTTTTTTTTTCAAACAACCCGTGTAGTACACGGGTGTCGTACTAGTAAATCAATATTTATATTAATTATATTTTAATGTTTAATTATATTAATTATATATTTATGTTTAATGTAGTTATATGTTATAAGGTATAAAATTTATTATAATATAACACATATAAGTCGCACAAGTAACATGTGTCATACTAAAATATATAATAATTTATACTCCCTCTTTTTATATTTATCACTTTGGCTTAATTGATCATTGATAAAAATAAATCCCCTTTATATATATTTTGTTCATATTTTTCCATTTCTAACCCTCCATCTAATACAAAGTGTCTCTTCATATCATATCTCCATCGTTTTCCATAACATCCATTAAATAGGATTAATATTGTCAAGAAAAAGAAATCTTAATTAGTGTGTTGCATTTGAATTGATATTATGAAGTCCGTTTGTATTTTACTATTTATTTATATATATAATATAGAATAGTAATATATATCCTTATAAATAAAATTTAAATTTATTTATCAAACTAAATTAAATTATATCAAATAAAACTATAATTATATTATAAAGTAATAGAATTGGTATGTATTCATTTAAAAATGATATTTATTTCAAATTTAATTGGTTTGTTGCCAATGTAATAAAAATAAATAATTATTTATATAAATTCTAAAATTACATATAAAGTTAAAAAATTGTGAAGCACGACTGATACGACA